CAGTCTCCTGCTGCAAGCCCATTCTTGTCTCCTGCTGATCCCAGGACAAAGTGGAAATGCTTAGTGTCACCTGGGAAGAAGCATGTCAGTAGTTCCTGTTCCCCCACTCTGTCCTCTAGCTCAGAACTCAGACTTACCTCTGAGGACTGGGTGTTTCTTGTCTCCAATTCTTTCACCTTCAAGCTCTTTTTCCCCAGGAATCATGAGGGACATGCAGCCTGGTTCATCTGCTCATGATCAGCTTTAAGGCATGTTCAATGAGCACTGGTTGAAGAAATAATGAATGACACAGAAGTTCAATGAGGAAGAAACAGGACCAGTCCCCTCCCCAAGCTAAACTAAAACACCACCACAAAATAGCAAAGCATAGCAAAAGCAGGCTATAGACCAGGGTTCCATGTAATTGCTAACTCAGGGGTAACTGTGTGCTGGGGACCAGCAGTTAAGATTCTGCTGTCATTCTTGCTGGGTGCATGCCTGAGTGTGTGTGTGTGTATGTGTGTGTCCTTGTGGGTACACACATAGCTTTTGGGGATGCACTCATGTTTCAGTATAGGGTAGTTCAACTATATCCCTGAAAGCTCGTAATGCACGCTTAATCCCCAAATTCATATGTTGACTGTATTTGAACTAGGGTTACTACAGAGATCATAATGGAGGCCCCCTGATAGAATTATTAGCTTTATGTAATGCGCGCTTAATCCCCAAATTCATATGTTGACTGTATTTGAATGAGGGTTACTACAGAGATCATAATGGAGGCCCCCTGATAGAATTATTAGCTTTGTACAAAGAGGAGTGACTCCAGGTGGCACGTTCCCTTTCTATTTTCTTCTGCTCTATGGCCATCCACTATCACATAATGCACCTAGAAGGCACTAAGCAGATGCTCTTGGACTGTCCAGCTTCCAGAACCATGAGCCCAATAAGCCACTGCTTCTTAAACTCTCTAGCCTCAGGCATTTTGTTATAGCAGCAGACAATGGACTGTTCCTTTTTTTTTGTTAGTCATTTTGGAACCTTAAAAAAAAAAAAAAAAGCCCTTTGGGAAGCTTGGCCAGTGGCTTTGTCATCTGAAAAGTGACTTGAGTAACAGAGAGGGATTAGAAAATGGAAACTGCCGAGCTGGGTACACATTTCTTGTGTGGCTTCAGCTTCAGTGAGGCCAGAAGGGCCAGCTCTGGAACCCGGCATGATCCCAGCGCCTCTGAAACATCTCCCTTTCTTTTCCCACTGAGGAACTAACAAGGGAATTTAGAGCAGCTGATGAGGTAGCAAACACAAGGAATCTTTAGACACCTAGAAATTAAATTATAATTTTTGCTTATGGAAGAAAAGATATTGTGCTAAAGATGAAGCAAAGTCCAAGAAAGGATCCCTAGGCAGAAGACTCCAGGGTTACTCCGGGAGTATGGAGTCCAGAGTAGACTCTCACGTCTAAATGAGCTTAAGATCCTCCGTTTCTGATGACAGGAGGTCTTCAGTACTGAGAAGGATAATTAAGCCTCTGGATATACAGTTAGCAGGTTCTTTTCTGCACAAGGACCACCTGCAGAGGGAGCTGTGGGAGGCTGAAATCCAGCCCGAGCTCTGTTTTCTAAGCTGTGTGGCCTAATGTGGGCTGCATCTGCTCAGAGTTAGGGGTGCCTTTCCTAATTTGCACGAAGGTACTGTGAACACGCTAAGTGGTCCAGAGAAGGATCTCAAAATATAAGTGTAAATCTTTGTGCTGTTAGACTTAGATGATCTGGAGATACGACCTCTTCTTGGACAGAAAAGAAAAAAAAAATTCTTGTAGGTATTAGGCAGCAATACCCAAGCTCCGATACCCCAGCAGGTGTCTCTGTGGCTAGCATCTTGGTGTGAGGCTTGTTTTGTGGTAAGCATATCCCTTACAGAATGTTCATCAAAGACAGTTCTGATTAGGATATTCTTGTTCCTACAAGCACAGCAGATATTCAACCAGAAATGGAAACAGTGAATTACTTTTCTGAGTCAGGCACTGGACTTGGAAATTGGGTCAGAGGAGGCTGAGAGGAAGGATCAGATCTCCTTTTCCATTTCATTTGTTGTTACTGTCATGTGATGCTGTTATTTATCTGTGCTTAGGGTGAGCTATTGGGGGGTCTTGGGTCAGTGACAAGAACATTAGGGAAAGTTAGGACTAAGGAAGAGAAGACATGGTAAAAAACTAAGGAAAGAAATGCTTTTAAAAAGTTAACCCACCTGGGTGTGGTGGTGCACACCTTTAATCCAGCACTGGGAGGCGGAGGCAGGTGGATCTCTGTGAAATTGAGGCCAGCCAGGTCTCCATAGCAAGTTCCAGGCCATCTAGAGCTATAGAGACCATGTCTCCAAAAAAAAAAAAAAAAAAAAACAAAAAACAAAAAATGGTAGCCCACAAACATTCCATCAGTAGGGCTGATAAACAATACAATACGAACAACATACGAACAACAACAATAAACACAACATGTAAAACCTGTATAATCCCCCCCCCTTTCGCTGGAGCACCGTGGACCTATTGTAGGATCCCAACAGGGAAAAACAGTAATGCTGCATACTTCCCCTTATTCCCCTTATTCTAAGGCTCAGTTTGATTTTGCCCATTGAGACTTTGTACACTGGGAGTTAATTATTCATTCTTTTTCTTTCCTGTTACAAGCTTTCTACCTACTTTTAGGAGAGAAAGGCAAGTGGCCTCTTTTTGACAGTTTCTGTTATGCCTTCCTTTTCCAGAGCTGTTATTTTCTGAATTAGTGGCTACAATTTTTCCTCTGTTTTTTTGGGGAGTGGAAATCTTCCTGGTTTCCTTGCTTTTCTATATATATACTGTAATTATAATTGTGTTGCTTATTCGTGTTCATTATTCTCTTCCTAACAAACATCAAGCCCAAATTCAGAAAGAAATATTAAATAGTAAAGACAGCACTTTTATTTTTATTTATTTGTTTGTTTATTTTTGAGACAGGATCTCACTGTGCAGCCCTGGCTGGCCTTGAACTCAGATCCTCCTGCCTCTTCCTCCCAGTGCTGGGATTAAAGACGTGTGCTGCCATGCCCAGTGCCCCAGAGCTTTTAAACAGCAAGGTCAGAGTGCAGCCAAGCTACATAGAACTTTTCTCAGGGTTGAATAAATTACTCAGGCTTCACAAAGATAATTAGGCAAAGAAAAGCCAGTATCTACTCCTGTTCCATAATTTGACAGTAATTATTAGAGGTCAAAGGTAAAAAAGACAGATTAGGGCAATTAGTCCAACCTTTTATGCAAAACAGTTTTGAGCAGAGTTTTTTCCACAGTTTAAGAGAAGAGGAAAGTGTTCTAGAATCAGAGCTGTTTGGGGGAGACTATCATTAAAGGGGATAATTAGGGACTGCAACTACACACAGCAACCAGGGTTTACCTTTTCCGACTGGGTAACTGACTGTTTTTGCTGCTTCAACAGATCCTGACAATAATTAGAATTCAGGGGAAGGGGAAAGTGAGGGATCTTGCAAACTTGTTTCTGGAAGCAAATCAGACACAGAGTCTGAACCATGGAATGCCAGGTTCCTCAACCTCTCTGCCTAGCATTCTCATCACAGGTCTGTATCAAGAGCTAAAGAAAGACCAAATGACACCCTAAAGCATCTTTAGCTTTCCAAAGCTCCTCCACCAGGGCCAAGATGGAGGTCCCATATATGGGGGAAATGCTGAATTGTTTCCACATTGATTCTTCCATTGGTATTTTACCTGGATGCTCCTAAAAAGCCAAGTTGCCCACGACAGTCGCAACTGTGTTCACATTAAAAAGCAAACCTCCAATCACTGGTGAATGACTCCAAGTCCTTGTAGAACACTGAATCCTCTCTCTTGCAACTCCACATCTTTTTGCATGCATACCCCACCCATGCCTTCTTGCTGAACTCCCAGCGGCTGGCAGTGCCCCCTGGGACTAATCCCACTTTACTTCTCTGGGCCTTACAAGTCAGGACAGAGGCCATTCACACTCCTGAAACCTAGTTTTGTATGCACAGTTTAAATGAATCTCTTGACACTTACTCAGAATACCCATCACTGCATTTATCAATTTTCACTGGTACCTTTTGGACTGTGTTGTGTCTCTTATAGGCTGAAGTCACATCCAGAGGCTCTAGCAATGAATCTGGCCTATAGTAATTGGTCAATACACCTTTTTGTGAGCCCTGGAGATGTGTCCCCTTCAATTACAGCATGTATAGACAAACGACTTTTTTACATTTGTTAGACACAGAGGTATATACTGACCACCCAGATGAGCTTTAGAAACTTTAACACAGGCGCTTCCTTGAAGAAACCAGCTTTCATAGCTTTGGGAATGAACCGCATTCATGCTGTTTTCCTCTCTCCCACACTCACCCAGGGCTAGCGCCAAAGAGACCCACATGGGGAGCCCCAGGATTCTCCACCAGGGCCCCGAGGCTCACTTGTGACATGGAGAACAGAATGAGTGAATGACCACCTCCAAAGCGTGCCACACGTGCAGAGTGCGGCCACTCCCGCCACCCTCAGGCTTGCTTTCTCTGCTCCTCGCTCTCTGGTACTCTGAACAGAGCAATCACACTTCCAAGCCAGAGCTCACTTAACCACAAGCATCTTCACCAGCGCCTAGGCCTGGCATGTCCTCATTCCTAAAGCTAGAGGGCCAGACAGTCCTTCCTTGGCCCCAAATGTGTGCTTTTCATCCTTTCTCAAGCCAGCGTTTGTATCAGCGCATCATTCCCACTGTGCCAAAGATCTCTGCTATGGTGATGCAGGGTGCCCCTTGCAAGGGACCTGGACGGGGAGATAGGATAGGTCCTGAGGGTCCAAATACTCTTCCAGGGGGGCGCCCGGATATTTTCCTCAATGACTGCAGGATGGACAACTGCAGAATTGGATGAAGAAAGCAAAAATGTCTTAAAAAAAAAAGAATCCATAGCCCAAACTGTCCCTTTGCGGTGTCACAGGCAGCGCACCTCCAGCTGGCAGGGAAACCGGGATGGGGGGATTTTCCTCGGGTCTCCCTCTCCCGGGGACGCCGCCCAGCTCGCACCCACTACACACAGGTTACGCTCAGGCCCCCAGGCTGCCGACCCCGCCCCTACGCGAACTTGACCGCACCCTCTTCCCCCGGGCGGCGCCCCCGCGCGGCCGGGCCTGACGTCACAAGGCACCCAGTCGCCGGCGCCCCGCTGTGCGCACCCCGCGCCCCGACCCGCCGCCGCCATCCCCGCGCTCCCAG